GCTTTTCTGTTTTTGAGGAATGCAACTAAATAATGCACTGCATAGCTATTTAAAATCCAGCAAAAACCCTAATATATTCCACTAAAGAGTTTACCCATCGTTTGTGAGTCCACATGTGTGCCCACATGGGTCTGTTGAATTATTTGTGCTTTTTCCAGTAGGAAAGGTGAAGCTCTTAAGACCCAAAGAGGGGCTTTTAAAGCAGTTATTGACTTCTGTCTCTTCAGCTGACCACCATCCTGTCCTTGTGCCCAGGTTGCTTAGCTACAAAATTGTGGCTACTGTCAATTGACAGAAGGGTTAAAACGCTGCTCAGTCTATGCTGCCTTCCTACTGCCCACTTAACAGAAAAACACTCCTATTACTGCAACTGGCAATGCATATCTAAAAGGACAGCAGCTAACAAATCAATAACTGTTAGGTTGGTCAACTTGGCATATGTTAATACCCTTATAGAAATAAAAATGTATGCAATAAATTGGATTTTCAAACAATGATTTTATGCTTCCTCTGTATCATAATTATCTTCTTCCTGTCAGATGAAAAAAATGCAATACAATTATCCTTACATGCTTCTGAGATGTGATTTAATAATCTCTTAAGTAACTATATTAGCTGTTTGCTCATCACTTGCATCATTGTGTCAGAAAGCGTTTATGATTACAAGAAGCATCTTTAAAAGATAATGTGTGAATAATGGTTTTTAATACATGAAAAGAAAATCTAACGCACATAGAAAAATGTTAAAAGTTGTGTAACACTTTATTTAAGAATATATTTTGATACTAAAGACTGAAATCGAAAACAAATATCTTTATACAGAGAATAATAACAGTATGGAAAATCAATGGTGTTTTCACCTTTTTTTTTTTTTTTTTTTTTTTTTGGAAGCAATGCCGATTTACCTCGGCTTATAAGACCTAGGCCTACTTGGATATGTACACATTCTGATACATTATATTGTTTGTTGTTTATGAAGACAGAAATGTAAAATTAGACGTAATTACATACAACTCAACCAAAGCAACGGTTTAAACAGTGATCGTTTTTATCATTATGGGTACATAGATTTGAATATAGTTTGCAAACTCTGGCAGCTAAAGGGAAAACAAAGAAGGAAAAAAGAAAGGGGCCTAAAATGGAGTTATGTGGAATTCCGTAGGTCAGACGTTTACAACCCTGATCCACAGGGACCAATATTCAGTACATTTTAGGTTTCTCCTTGATGCCCCAAACCATGTTTAAATGAACGGGTGATTAACAGTCTTCTAAAGCACTTGATGGCACACAGAGAAGAGGCATAAATTCAAATAGGATCTGCTTAAAGAAGAACTCAAACACATTCAGAGCTGAGGTCTGAATTGTCCCACCGCAACAGTTCTTCTTATATATCCATAGCAATAAAGTTGTTCAAAGAGGATGCTTTGATCAATAGCAACAGTTTCCCAAATCAGTGATTTGAACCCTTAAAAAATCAGCTTCTGTAACAACATTATTTAACATCGCAATCAAGTTTTGGTAAGAACTTTTATTCCCTCCAAAATGTCTGCAGCTAAAACAAAATCGTGTATTGAAAGATTGAAGGCTAAGGCCTGAAGTTTAAATGGGACATGGATCTAAATGTAGCTTTCTTAATGAACTGGCTTGGCTGCAGCGAATTAACTAATTGGTTTTCAATGATGTTTAGATGCTCATCCTAATCTTTAATCAATTAATTCAAATGAGATTTTGTGAGATTTTAGAAATCAAGCAATAATGATTTGTCCTTTATTTCAATCAGTAAAATGGCTCCTAAACACCAACAACAAACAGTCAGGTTTGGTATCCAGAAAAAGTAAGGCAAAAAAACTGAGCCAACAACAATCAATTTCTCGTCTACTCCTCCTCTTCCCACCTTTGCCTGTGTGTGTGTGCTGAGAAACAAAGCAGGGACCGAGACGGCTGTTATTGTCACCCGAATAAAAAAAAAAAAAAAAAAAACAGATTTATTCAAAAGAGCTGAAAAAACAAACAACAGACAGAGAGAGTGAGCATGTAGCCTCCGGGAGAAGAAGAGTGACAGTGGAGTGGCTGAATAAAATCAGATTTTTATCCTTCATGGCAGCATGCATAGTGGAAACTGAATATCTGCACTCTTGGTCAAAAGAATGTGAAATGCATTATATTCTGAGATCGTATAGTTCTGAGACTTTATAGGAGGATAGAGCTATTTAAATTAGGGGCAGATATTCTTTAGTGTTGCAATGCTCCGTCATTCAATGTTACATGAAGTTCATGTCTCATCTGAATTCTGCAGGAAACCTACAAAGTAAGAGCAGCGACCTTAAACAAAAGGTTTCCACCTCTGTCAAAGGTTGGCTCTGACATGAAGCTTAAGCTGACACATTCTTCTCTCATTCCCCCTTCCTTATAATCACAGATCGAACACGTATCTCCATACGCGTCAGCGTACATTTTAAACTGCAATCCTATTTAATCTAAATATTTGACCGATGTTCCCCAAGGCATCTATTCTTACCATAAAAATCCACACAAATGCAGCCTTACATATATATAAAGAAGTAAAAGGTCAACCGTTCAAAGCCTGACCCTGTGACTGTGTCTGTTACTTTGATAAATAACCACTGGAAAATGAGGCAGCATATAAATCAGAAGAAAAAAAAAGAGAAACATTTCTACAGGCATATAGGAACTCTTATCTGCAGTCAGTGGCATGGGAAATAAAAAAAAAGAATCCACCAGGGACATTCAGTGCATGCTCCTGAAATACATTATCTGTTGCATTTTGAGTGCATGTAGTTCTATGTAGGAAAGCATTTGAATCAACAGCATTGGTTCTGACTCACCTCAGATTACAAACTATCATTATTACAAGCAATGCCATCAATCTGAGCCCCAAATCTGAATAAAACAAATTCTGTATAATGTTATATATGCACACATCGTTTCTTTCTTTAAAATAAACCCTACGCTGCATGTGAGAGGATATAATAAGGTCACAGTAGGGTTTTTAATCTATATGAATCTCTTTTTGTTTACTTAAATACTCTTAATGAAACATTTGCTTCAAAATAAAGACTTCTTCTTAAGAAACAAGCTCTCGATTAGCAGCCCAACTTTCAATCAAACCATTTGTTTGTGATGCTGCAGAGCATCAGCCCAACGAACCTGTATAAGAACAGGTGCTGCACAGAGCTTAGGTGGTAATATACCCCCTCAGTCCCCACCCACTCCTGATATCCGACTTGTCAGAAAAAGTAATAAAGGTTGACAGACATCCACATCTGGCCCTACAGTTTCTCCTCTGTAATAAACTGTAGCTTAATATCAGCCCTTATAGACCCTTCACAGCAGCACTGACATGAGCTAAAGTGCGAAATAAAGATATTCCTACAACTATGTTCCACATGGTACATCCACAGATTACCATTTCAAATGGGAATTTGATCAAAAATGGATAAGCCACTGGGTCTTTTTTATTACCATTTATTTTTATTACTGAGAAAATCAAAGGTCGCTTAGAGACAAAAAATATTAATAAGCAACAGAGGCCATAGATTGCATCTTATCTCTGTAAGGTCTCTGTAATAGGAGCTTGGAGGAAAGACACAAAAGCTGTTCATTATATGAGAGCAAACAAACATCCACCATTATGCATGAATGTCTTCACAAACAATAATGGACCAAACAGTACCCTCTGAATCCAATTAACCCTTTGCTCTGATCTCCTGAATGCATCTATGCTCCCATCTTGTAACACCAGACCTTCTCGCTATTTCATTAGCACACATGCACACTGAGATCCGCCGCTGCCTTTCCACCATTCGAGCCCAGTCACAGCTAATGCACCTCGTATAATCAAATCCACCAATCGCAGTATTCCGTGCAAAGACCCGTGTCACATGACTAACTGCACATTAGCTCGACGCTTGCTTGGAGTTAGAGCTGTCATTTTGCACTAATATGATTCCAGTATATCTTTTTTTTTCTTCTTTAATCTGATTTGGGAAGTCTAAGCTCTGGCTTCTACGAGTCTAGCGCTAAAGCCCTGGTGGGCTAGGCTAATCAATTTCCAACATTTCTAAGGGAGACAATGATCCCAGTGTTAGCGCTGGCTAATGACAAGCTAACACAATCAACATAGCCTCCCTCGAGGTGAGCTCAGAGCCAAGGCCCAATCATGCCCCACCTCCTGCAGGCTCCTCATCCACTTCCCCTACATTACTATGGAGTCTAATGGGCTCTTATTAAGAAGACAGATGGATGAAGAATAGAGAGAGATTCTGCGTCTTCTTCAGTTACATTAACGTGCTGGATATGAGCTACCCCAACGACAGCTTAAATGTGTAAAATTGCCCTCCAACAGATTTTTATTACTGCAGGTGTGGCATGTTTGCACCTATTATCAAGATAAAAGGATCAGCATGATAAGAAACACATGCACACAAAAATATGAAGTCATTTAGTAAAATTCCTTATTTGTTTAACCTTTGACATATGTCTATGCAGGGGTCCTACACATGTTTTTCAAGTTTAAATTCTATTATTTAGGTGTATTTTGGTGTATTTACGTAATAATTACAACAGACTGATTCTCAGAAAAAAGCACAATATGAGATGGATGCATGGGTGGACAATAAGGGAGGAAATGTTTGATAAATGGATATTAAATACAGTCCTCATGTTTAAAATTGCAACCAAAAATAAAAAAAGAAAAAGTTTTTTTTCCATCATCCAGATAGTGTTTTGACTTCTTAACTTTTCCTAATTAATTTTCAGACAGAGGAATTATAAGCAGGAAGAGTGATATCTGTTTTTAAAGTTTCCCTCTGCAGTTATCAGCATCAACTTCAGGTCGGCACACAGTTTAAAGAAAAGCAGTGTTAGAATGTTATCATTGAAACACTTTAGATAGCAGAGTGGTTCATGTTTATCATTCTTGTTTGCTCTTACAGTTTTTATGTATTAGTTGGTGAATTACTAATTATAAGCACACTTACTTGAATTTGGCATTTATCTCGTCTGCAGCTTTATGATAGTTCTCTGTAGTGACCTTGTAGAGCTGCGCGCTCTGCAAAGAGAAAGGGAAAAGAGTAAGGAATGCATGATTATAACAGCTTAATAATCAGTTAAGAAAATTAAATTATCTAAATTCTTCAGATGAAACATGCTTCTCAATCTCTATATCATTAATTTTTTTTACTTTTTTTTTTACTAAACAAAGAAAGAAAAAACAACTAATACTTTTCTAAATTCATCATTCTTAATCTAGGGAAAGAGTATAAAATACTTATATATTTAGGGACACTTGTAGCATGTAATTTTTATATGCACCATCACAAATAACTCAGCTGAATGCTGAAAAAAAGCATAGGGCCTCGACACATGCACGCCCACTTAATAAACATGAAAAAAATAAATCCTGTTCTGTAGCAAAAGGTACTCTTAAATCAAATCTTTAAGTCATTCGTGCCCATCACAGACTGCTAAAGGTGCATTGAGAAATAATCCAACATGAAGAATACATCATTGCTCAAATTATTCATCGGTCTTTGTGGTATAGGCTTCCACCTTACAACAATGAAACTCACCGGTTTGGCACTGCCGTGCCAACCAACATGCACACAGCTGAAGACTATCTGCAGCACACTTCAATACTCTATGTGAAGTATTGTTGATTTTTTGCTCTGTTCAGACAATTTTGTTCTAACTGATGCAGACATGACATGACTAATTCAGAAATTCAAAACTTAACACTTTTTTCCCCCTTTTTGCAGGGCAGCTGCAGCATTGTTCTGAAGCTGTGCAGCATCTCTGCTCTATGCTTTTATATTCCTAGTATTCCAAATGATTGCCATATTTTATAATTTATTAAATATACAACTCCTTGTATGTACATAAAAACAATACTCTTAATTAATTTATTCTTTTACATATTTAAGCAGTTAAAGGCACACCGCAGATTTTGTGACCCAAAGAGTTGGCACTTACTGTACGAGTTATTTTAAATGATTCCTCAGGTCAATATACAGCACTTGACACTATCAGTGCTATGAGCGGGGCTCCCTTCTTGAAATACCACCTATGTAAGTTGGGAAAAGACGTACCATCATTGGCCAGGTCATGTGACCTGGAAGAACGTATCGCTTTACGGCCGCAGGCTCTTATATAGTCATGGAGCTAAGGCTTTTGCTCTACTATTTTTCCACCTGCTGAACTACTGGGTCATGGCTGATGGAAGAAAAAAGTTTAAACTTTTTTGAGGAGGCTAAAATGAGAAAACGTTAAAGAAATCGTGTGCAAAGGAAAAACAAGAGTCGATCTTGGAGCGGAGTTTGCTTGTTGGCGCAGGCTGAAAGAAGAAGGCAAATGTAAAACCGATTCTTCTTTTCCCAACTTTATTATTAGACTGGTAAGTTAACACTTTGCTCCTGGTATACAGTCATATATCTTTGCTATTATTTTCAACGTTTAGTAGAGGCAAAATAGGGGCAGTTACAGTGGCCAAAAGTTACACAGTGTGCTTTTAAAGAGAGCTTATTTGACCAAAGTGCATTTATCAGGCCAGCTATTTGTTAACAGTTTAAAACTATAATGGTTACTGCTTTGATTTCTCAGTTGGTAAATAAAAATAAACTCCAGGCTGCGATTGAATGTTCCACACAGGAGCCCTATAATGATTCTCCAGATGTCTTTTACTTGTCCTTAATGCCTCATTCAACTATTGTTACCTAATAATCCAAAATAAAGTTTGAAAAAATGGATCCATACACTCAATCAGCTTTTTTTTTAAATATTTAATTCAGAAAAAAAGAAAAAAAAAAAAAAAAACTGCTCTCCATTTTTTCATATTTTATTAAAAAAAAATTTTAAAACACAAACAAAATATTGTTTCTTGTATTTTTATTGTTGGTTTCAAAGTGAAAAACAGATGAACGAATGATACACAGATTTACAGTGCTCCAATTAGCTCATTTCCACTCATCTCACCTATCAAACCTGATTAAAATCTAAAAGAAATTAACTTTACAAACACAGAAAGCTTTTTGCAGGTATACGGCTTGCAAAGACAAACTATTAGACCTTTTCTACTACAGTGAAAAGGTGTGAATTATGGGCACTTGTGCTTATCCTCTCACAAAAGCCTGCTGCAATAACAGTGAGCAGTCCTGCAAGGCCACAAGGTCGCTAGTCAACAATGTACAGACAAGTGGTCAAAATCCCCTGGTGACCCGTAGTAAATGAGACCATAGTGCGAACACTCAACCTAAATTACCTCCTTAAAGACAGCTATATACCCTCACTTCTGGAGCATTTATACAACCCCGGGAAGATCCTTCTTGTCACTCTTCAGAGGCTGTTATGCACATTTATAATCATATCCTGAGAGGCTGTAAAGTATGACAAATAGCTTGATTGAAGGTGGTTTGAGTTTTCAAAGATGTCTGGGAATGTCTAGCATTACAAAGACATTTTTGTTGGAAAGAGGACATCACATTCCAGAAATGGCTCTTTTCAGATATATTGCACGTATTTCATTCCATGCTACAGTTGGTGTTTTGCTCTCTAACTTGGTAATTAGATTAAAATTAAAGTTGAACAATTGTATAGATGTTCTTTTTTCTTAAGAGTATCTGTAAAACCATTTACACTCAGGTCAGCATATCCACTAGCTGACAACAACTAATGGCATCCCCATAGGGGTTTAAATGCTTTTCTTTTCATTTCTGATAATGCAGCAATCTAACACCAAAGCTCAATGATATTGTTTAAAACTTTAGAAGGCAACATGTGGGCCAAGTTCAGCATAGAAACATGTACATATTCAGATATACAACAGCATTGAATTAAATATAAAGTTAAAAAAGGTTTTGCTAAGATATACGAATGAATCTCATAAATCCATATCATTTCGAAAATTAATTGTATTAATAAAATATATTCCAGCACAAAATATTTTAAGCTATGAAATATTTTGATGGTTGTGGCTTTTAGCTCATGAAAACCCCAAATTCAGAGTTTGAAGTTCAAAATCTCAAGTTAAGTCCTAAACAGTTCTGGTTAAGACTGCTGACTTGACAGCTGTCCAGCAGATATTTGTGAAAACCCTCCACAACAAAGCCAATGCTAAACAGGTCATTTCCTACAGAAGCTAACTGTTTATATGGAGATTCACCCAAGAATGTCAATAGTACGCTGAGTAACAGGAATATGTGTTTTTGAAAACAGTAAACAGGAAGAAGTCGGCAGCCTTTAGAGGACTGAGAAGCAAAGCCTAACTAAGAGTTCATGGGATATTCACTAGGCATGAGCTGGGGTTCAGGAGCCACCATATAAAGCTACAAGAACACAACTATTACACGACATCTCTGGATTTTCTCTAAGTAAAAGAAATGTATCCCTATGAAGTGATTTTAATTTAAGGATTGAATAACTAAACTTTACTTTTTGTTGATAACTCATATCACTCAATCTGTAAATAGACATATTGCACTCATATGCCTCTTTTGTGAAATATTCCTGAATGCAGGCTGGAATATGTTATAAATAATTAACTATAGAGAATTTGGTAGGAATGGAATTAGCTAAAAACAAATGCAATGACTTATGGAAACATTAAAAATGCCAGCTGCATTCCAACTTCTCAAAGTTCTCCAACCACATCTAAAATGACAAAACTTTTAAAAAAAAAGTCTGCATACTTTATCAACTAACAATGAGATGCTTTTTTTATGACAGCTTTTTGCTGCCATCTTGTCTTCACCTTCTTAGAGAAAAGACATTCATCATAGTTCAGTAAGGATCAATAGGAATGAAGTGCACTGCTGAAAAGATCAATAGTCATGTGCTGTAGAGGTAAAAGAGGATGGGACATGACACTGACAAAAGGTCTAAAACCAATTAGATTTCTGTTCATTTGGATGGACAATTTTATAGATGAACTGCACTTTACTGAATTTACTTCACCGAGTCATGATGTATGGAGTATTTAAACTATTTCTGTGGCCATAACTGACTGAATCATTTATATAGCTAAAGAGAATGTAGATAAAAAATGCAGTCATGATAAATGTGTATATTTAGGAGAACATATATGATAAAAACATATTACAGAATGATTTTTTATGAATATGCTGAGATTTAAATGTTGTCCTTCTGAGAAAATAACAAAAATGCTATTTTCTTTAAACAGAATAACAGAGAAAACGATTTTTTTTTTAACCAAGCCTGCTTGAATATACCGTATTTTCACGACCATAAGGCGCACCGGACTAAAAGGCGCACTCTCAGTTATGTGTCCCATTTCTGTATTTAACACACACATAAGGCGCACCGGACTATAGGGCGCGTTTTTTATATACAGGTACAAGTCCTCTACTACCTTTAAATACCTCTACTGCGTATTTAAAAATACAGCGGGGGCAAAACTGAGTATGACTGTGCTTTATTCATGTATTTATTACAAAGTATTAATCAAACCTGGCAGCTGGCCGTGAGACAGAGACATCGCAGATGACACAGCGCTGTGGTCACTCCTAAATTAACTTAAAATCCTGAAACCTGCTGACGGAATATGTTCGCTTTTATTGCCGGTATCCTGGTGCCTGCAGCTAAAATTATTTAGATGAAAAACACCTGCCAGCAGCCGCGGTGAACCCCAGGCTGCCCAGCCTACAGGCTGCTGATGAAGAGATTTCTGCTGTCAGCGCACCGCTGGTATGTGGGGGTCTGAGCGCCTCCGACAGAAATAGATAATCTGGATGAACTGACTGCAATTATTAAGTTTTCAGGTGGACTTTCTCACTTAAAAACATATTAAAACTACTTTATTCCCACTGATCACAGCAAATATAGCTGCAAGATTTAGATTATTTAGATGAAAAAACACCTGCCAGCCACCGCGATGAAGAGGAGGAGACGCGCCGGGGATGCTGTTGAATTAAGTTTTCAGGGAGAAAAATACAGCGGGAGCAAAACTGAGTATGATTGTGCTTTATTCATGTATTTATTACAAAGTATTAATCAAACCCATCAAAGTCATCATCCTCTGTTTCTGAATAAAACAGCTGC